ACACAGAACAATTGCACTTGGTAACTTAGAATCGGTTTGCAACCTCCGGCCTTGATCACTAGCCCCACTGTTTGAAGACAAGGCAGGTTTAATACATGACTCCGCAAGCCTATGAAATCAATCTGACTGCAGGCTGATTATTCATCCTTTTGCGGCCCACCTAATTGTTATTGGAAAGTCATTTATGCTTGCTGGACCGTGTCCTGACCCCACTCCCAATCTTCCCCCATCACACATCTCTATTGCCACTGTCTTTGAGCCAATTTGACCCATTGCTACTAAGAAGACCAAAAGTATTTAAAGAATCCAACATAATGGATCATAACTGGAGTATGTTAACATTAGTTAGAAGAGCATTGTTGGGCAATCTTTGAAAATTCTGAGCTGTGTTGCCTAATGACCAGATATTGTGCCTGATCTATAGTGTGTGATTGTGAAAATACAGAGCTACTTGTTTTATCAAAGCATTATAAAAAATGTATACGTTAGGGCTATGCACTCTATTAGATCTTTGAGGAATACCTTAGATTCAATAAATATGTATGTGTTATATTAGTAAACATGAGATTCTGTGCTGGGTGAGATATTTATTTGTACATGTGTGTGTGTATTCAATTTCTGGGGTAAGTTATAAATCTATGCATGTGGACATGTGGCGGTATTTGCAAAGCTTATCCCCAGGCCCTAATTTCCACCATGATTACAGTCATTTTATTAAAGGTAAAAACAAACTGTTACACAGTTTATTCACTAAACAGTTGTGGTTATTGGAAAGACAAATTGTAAGATTGAGGACAGAATGGATGGATTTGCAGTTTCAAGTAATCTAAAGGATTATTCAAAGCATCATGATCACTTCATTGATTTGAAGTGGTCATGGTGCCTGGAGTCTTTACATTTCTCTAATGTGGCACATACAGAGTTCAACCCTTCTACTGCCGGAGGTGCAACCCCACCTCTTGCAGCATTATTGGCAATGGTGTAACAACCAAGGTCGCAGGGGTCACAGCTGTAACTGGCCCATCACTGTCGCCCTTTCAATCCCTGCAACCATGGGCCGACATAACTTCAGGGCTGGAACATGGCTGCACAGCACAGCGCTCCCCTCCTGCCAGTCACCTTAATGTAGCGTTGCCAGGAAGACGGCGGTACAGGAGCCTCTGTTTCCCTCTACCCAGTCTGATAGTGCTCACAGACAGTAATTCCTGTCAGATCAGGTACCGTGGTCCGCGCGGCCACACTGCATGGTCCAGAGCAGGTATAGAGGGGGATTGGGGAGAGACACATGTTAGGGAATGGGGGGGTTGACACATGGAAGGGACCAGGGGAAAGTAAGGACACATGGAGGAAGTGGGGGAAAAATTGACACATAGAAGGGAGGGGAGGAGGGCATTGAGACATATGGAAGGGACGGGAGGATTTGGCACCGGCAAGGGACCAGGGGAGGGAATTGGCACCGGGAAGGGACTGGGGGGTGGAGCTGACACATGGAAGGCACTGAGAGGGGAAATTTACATATAGAAGCAACTGGGGGGAGGGGAGGAGTTGAGACACATGGAAGGTACTGGGGGGATTGAGACACATGGAAGGGACTGGGGTGATTGAGACACATGGAAGGTACTGGGTGGGGGGGGGGAATTGTAACGGGAAAGGTACTGGGTGGGAATTGACACCGAAAAGGGACTGGAGGGCAGGATTGAGACACAGGTACTGGGGGAATTGACACTGGGGAGGGATGGGCAGGATTCAGACATATGGAAGGGACTGAGAGTGGGAATTGAGCCACATGAAATTAACTGGGGGAGGGGATTGACACGTGGAAGGGACAGGTGGGTATTGAGATGCATGGAGAGGATGGGGGTGATTTACACATGGAGGGACTGGGGGGGATTGAGACACATGGAAGGTGGGAAATATATACATGTGGGGAGGAAGAGACACATGTAGGGCAGGGGGGGAATTGAGACAAATGGAAGGCCTAGGGGAAAATTAAACACATGGAAGGTGGGAATAAGACACATTGGGGAATGAGACACATGGAGGGTCTGGGGTGGATTGAGATACATGGAGGGTCTGGAGGAGATTAGACACATGGAGCTATAAGCTCGTCACCAGACCACCAGTGAGCATTGGAGCAAAATGGTTTGCTCCATTATTGGAGAACTGGGCCAACGTACTCCTGGCATCATAACCACTACAGAGGGTCGTAGAGGTTATGATGCTTGGAGCAACCCTTTAAGGTTTTCTGGAAACATCAGAAGATGGACTGCAAGATACACTGGTAGTATATTGGCCACATGTGGACAGGCTGAAATAATTTCCGCAATTTGAATATACACTCCAGGCTCCCCCTATTCCAGGAAGTCTTCCTCATTTTAAAATAAAGTCCAGTGATCAGCATTCGGCACCTCCATCCTTCCATCATCATTTCCACTATCTGCTGTGATATCGAAATGTCAGGAACTCATCTTACACTTCATTCATTTCCTGCTTTCTGCCATTGTCAAGAAGCAGATTACAAAGTAATGTTTGGAAATGTTACGTTATATACAGCACACGAGGCAGATAATATAAGTAGAAATGTGTTGATAAAAGTTCAAACTAAATAAAATCTGCTGCGTCAATAAAATTGTGAGCACCTCATATAGAAAGTATTTATTATTGACTAATAAAATCATATTGACTAATGTAGTGTCAAATGTCAAATGTTTTGTCAAAAGCTACTCGTACTATTGACTAATGTAAACCTTATTGAGTGCTGTAAAATTCTACATTAATTCTCACTTCATTCAATATATTGGATACTGTCAGATTCTATATTCATAAAAGTGTACCATGGCTTTTATACAGACATTTACAACACTGCTGATCCATATTAAATGGTTGTGTTCTTTAAAGAGTTTTCATATAACAAAATTTTATTTTTTTATTCTGTTTGTGTGGATGCTTTCATGTATAGAGTAGATGCGGGGAATTTATAATTCTCCTAACTCCCCACCATCCGGCTTTGTAGGGTGCCTCCCTGTGACTATTGAATGGATTCACATTATATAATACCTTATGTCAGTTTATTTATAGGCAACATTAAAGGATGCTGTGTATAGACTAGGGCAGAACATACTAGGAGATTTACTGGACAGGTTTGTATGAGTGTGTGACTACGTCTTCCTACCTTAGTCTTGCGGTGAATGAAAAGATTCTGAAACCAATGTTTCGGTCCAAAGATCTTAGTGAAAGTTTAAACATTGTTGCTGCCTCACAAATTATTGGTGGAAATCCACCACTTTAGTGTGCTTCCTTTACCCATTTATTGAACATGTTTTTCTCTGGTCCATACTGATGTCTCACCTTAAAGTTGTCCCACTACCAGAATTCTGACAACAATATAGCTCTGTGTTATTCTGTGGAGAATTCTATTGGTACATCCATCAAGGAAGAATGAAGCACAGGCCTTAGCTATGTATACACCCCTTGTCCCGTGGAGAAGCAGTATCTTGTCATAGTTTCCATTCCCCAGACAATGGTCAAGATTTAATATTTTTGAAAAGCTTTTTTTAAAGTGTTCACAATATGTTAGAAAATCTTTTAAAATTATTTATCTACACAAGTCAACACTAACGTTTATGAGATTTTTTTTCGAAGATAAATCATTTAAGAAGTTTGTGATCATTTGAAAAGGTTTTTCGAAATTATAAAATTCAGGTCTAAGCATCCTGATCAAGTTTTGATCTCCCAGTTACAATGTTGGCATGTAGCTCGTGTTTCCTGATTTCCATTGATTCGGCTTGTTTTACAGATATTGTGATTCCCTGTACCCCTAACTCTGGCTACTCTTTTCCCTGTTTCTGATTATGTGCATTTCACCTTTCTTGGGGCCTGAATTATCCTCTGCCTGTTAGGGTTAAGGCTATTCTGACACATCCCTAATTATTGCTGCCAAAGGACAGTTTCACTGTTATCCTGTAATAAATATATCATTCTAAAGATCTCTTTGATCTGCATTGACAGTATCAGAGTGTTCCAACAAACTTAAACAAGGGTTGCTCCTTATTCTACCACCAGCTGTGACCACGACCTTGAGCAAATGGAATATCATGATGGAAGCAAATGCTATATATAATAGACAAGGTGTAATAAATTTTTCCAATTCGCCTATGAGGAGTTTTATGTACAACCCAGATAGCGAAATACTGTTTAGTGAATAAATTCTCTAGTAGTGATGTCCCGAACGGTTCGCCGAACGGTTTGCCACGAACGGTTTGCCGCGGACTCATCATTGAGTAAACTTTGACCCTGTACCTCACAGTCAGCAGACACATTCCAGCCAATCAGCAGCAGACCCTCCCACCTCTTGGACAGCTCACTAAGAATGCAGCTTCACAATGAATGTAGAATGGATGCTGTCCAGGAGGTGGGAGGGTCTGGGAGGGAGGGTTTGCTGCTGATTTGCTGGAATGTGTCTGCTGACTGTGAGGTACAGGGTCAAAGTTTACTCAATGATGAGTCCGTGGCGAACCGTTCGTGGCGAACCGTTCGCGAACCGTTTGGGACATCACTATTCTCTAGTAATCCACGTCCCAAGGGAACCGATATTTCATTGTGGTGAAACTATCGACAATTGGGCTACAGTGCAATTAATAAAAGCCTTTCCTAAATAGCAGTGACCAAAGCAAGGACATCTTGCACTGGCAAATATCATGATCTATAAGATCCAGTATCAGAAGACATTTTATTCATTCAATCAGTAAATTGCTACATAGAATATTCATGATGACGTTTTAGAAACGTTGAATATTATGAAGCCTCAGGGCCAGCTCACTCTGTGATTTTGTGGGGACGTGGATCTCTTGTTAGACGTTCTATTTGGAGAAGCTGTGACTGTGCACTTGCCTTATAATGTAAAATGGAATTATGGTGCATAAATGAGCATTACCCCATTCTTCTGTCCTCTCTACTGACATCTAGTGATCATGCAGTAATATTACACAGAAAAAAATGTACGCAGACTGGTAAATGTTGATTAAAGCAAAATCTATTTTTAGGAAGTGATGGGGCGGGGGTTGACATAACAGGTGTTCATTTTTATTTCACCAGATATGGATGAGCATATTTATTATGTAAGAAACCAATTCCATTTGCACTATACATGCACAAAATTTTTTTTTTTCAAAAATGTTGAAAATATTTCCGCCTTCGGTGCTAGGATATCTTCAGTAGTCAGTGAATGATGGATTTTTGAGATCACCAATAGCCTTTGTATTCATTAGGTGGTGCAACAGATGTCTAATTTGCTGACTCACCTGTGTTAGTCATATTCTTGAGACTCTACGTAGCTTGGATGAATTATGTATGAACCTCTCAAAGAAGCTGTGAAGATGGCTGGGTGTTAGGGGGAAGGCACGTGAGATTTAAAGAAGCCTGAAACTTACCTCCTTTAGCCAACTGCTAGTGTGTCATTTTATTGATCCTAAAAAACAGTTTTGTAGTTGTGGTGGGTTAGTGGGAAATGTGTAGAAATGTGTAGAAATCAATTTCTATGTATGACTTTGAAGGATTTGCTTAAGGGTTAGGATATCCTCAATAAATGGCTACATTTGTAATATAATATTGAAATTGGACAAAAGCGGTCAGAGGAGTGCCTCAGGGTTCTGTTCTTGGTCCACTTCTCCTTAATCTGTTTATAAATGATCTTGGAGTGGGCATTGAAAGTCATTTGTCTGTATTTACAGATTGACACAAAACTAGGTAAGATAATACAGTACTGACATCATACAAGTTCTCTACAGAATAATTTGGAGACATTGGGGGACTGGGCAGGCAAGTGTCATATAAAATTCAATACAGATAAATGGAAAGTCACGCATTTTGGAATAAGGAACCCACAAATCATGTATACATTAAATGAAGCTGAGTTAGGGATAACATTAAATGAAAAGGACTTGGGGACAATTATAAATATCAAACTAGGCAACAGTATGCAATGCCGGTCTGCCATTGCAAAACTAGTAAGATGCTTTTGTGTATAAAAAGGAGTATTGATTAATGTGATCAAGATATCATTTTGTCTTTTTATAAATCAATGGTGAGACCCCAACTTTAATATGCAGTGTAATTTTGGGCACCAGTTCTAAAGAAGGATATTGCAGAACTAAGAAAAGTTCATAGGCGAACTACAAAATAAATAAGGGGGATGGAAAACATTAGGTATGAAGAATGGCTAGAAAAACTGAATTTGTTTCTTGAGAGAAAATGGCATCTCAGAAGGGGTAGGAGAGCACTATGCAAAGTCATTATAAACAGCTATGTGCTAACATGTTTATTAGCAGGAGATCAAGATCAAGAGATCACCCATTGAGACTGGAAGAAAGGTGTTTTCACTTACAGTAGAAGAAAGGGTTCTTTACAGTAGGAACAATAAATATGTGGATTTCTCTGCCTAAAGCTGTTGTCTTATCAGATGCTCTAGATATTTTTTAAAATAGCTTAGATTTTTTTTTGCAAAAACACAATATGCAAGGATTTAATTAATATGTACGTAAACATGTTGTTGATCCAAGATACCTTCAGCATAAAATAATGGATTTCACAGTTGAACTGGATAGATTTTTAGACTTTTTTCTACCTAGACTACAATGTAACTCTGCTATTTTTTTTCATTCTTTGTCTAAAACTTTGAGAAACACCCTGGTGAACCTATATAATCTGCGTCCATAAAATCAAAAAGTCTGCCCTGGCTCTACATGTGACCATGTTAGCAAGTTCTAATCAGGGAACCTGGCCTGCTCCCACAAAGAAAATGACTTCTGATTAATAGAAAGTTTGAAGAACAGAGTTCCACAGTGATAAAACATCTAGTAATGTGTGGTGTGTGTCTTTATTTATTAACCTGGGGTATGTGAGCCTCAGGTGATACACTCTCCATGAATAAGAAATTTCAAAAGATCTCTTCTGTGCTGGCCAATGTGAAATGCATATTTTGCGCTTCAAGACGACAGAGACACTCTTCCTCCCCAAATATGCAGTCGTAGAATCTTTCTGCAATGTGGTCCTTCCCACCAGGCAAAGAGGCAGGCCCTATATAAGGATTGAGGAGGAAGCGTGATATTGAGATGGAACGGAAAGATAAAGATTACGGGTGAGATGGAAAATTTTATTGGGGATAAAATGGAAAAACAATATTGGGTTTTGAAATGGATAGATGATATTGGGTTGAAACTGAAAGATGATGGGGATGGGTGAAATAGAGAGGTGAAAGTAGGGAAAAAATGAGAAAAATAATATTGGAGCATGACAAAATATCAAAGTGAGATAATATTGTGGGATAAAATGGTGCTAGATTTAAACCCACACCAGAGACTCACATTTTAATAAAATGTTTGCTTAGCTCCTAGCTTTTGACCCTCTTTTTTAATTCTGTAGACATTTTTCAATCTCTGGTTTCTACATGATATAAATTCATGGATTTAGTGTTAGGGATAGACGTTAAGTTTATGTTTAGCATTTAGAGTTAATAAAGGTACTAAGGTATAGAACAGTAGTCCCCAAAAAAAGTCCTCAAGGCACCCCTACCAGTCCAGGATTTAGGGATTACCCAGTTGTGTCTAAGTTAAGGTATTTCTTTTTCTTCTAAAAATGCCTTAGACACAACTGGGTAATCCTTAAATCCTGGACTAGTAGGGGTGCCTTAAGGACTAGTTTGGAAACCGCTGGGATAGAAAATAGAGTTATGATTGTGCGTGACATAAAGGGATAGTATGATTTTAGGGTAAGGTATAGTACTTAAAATTTAGATTTAGGGTTATAGCATGGTTGTTGGTGATATTCAGGGTTAAGGGTAATTTTAGGGTTACAGTTAAAGACAGTGTTTGGAGTTATGGTTACACTCTGCAGAAGATCGTCTTTGATTCTCTGTTCGTACTCACACTTTTGACACCCACCTTCAAGACTTCTCTAGGGCTGCACCATTCCTATGGAACTCCCTTACCTGTTCTTTTAGACTCTCACACCTTCTCAATTAATAAAAAAAAATAATAATAAAAACTCACTTCTTTAGGAAACCATATTAATTAAACTGTTACAAGCTTTCCTTCCCCGAATCTTGGTAACCAACCCTGCTTCTCTGTGTCATCCAAAAAAACTAACCCTTCATTGTAAACTATTCTGGCAACCTACTTTTTTCCCTTACATGAAATAAATCAGACCCTTACCTCTTGTGCCACTTTGCCCCACTCCCTGTAGGATGTAAGCTCGTTTAAGCAGGACCCTTAACACCCTCGTCTTCTTGCAAATACTTATCTGTTAGTGCCAATTTGATAGCACCTTTTAAATAATACCAAATAATATAGAAAATAGAGATGATATCGTCAGTAAACGTGACCTTTTTTTTGCATTTTTCACACACAAACGGTACTTTCACTGATGATATTGTTGTGATACGTTTTACTGTTTTGAAACACTAATATTTGCGTTCAGCGAAGTCTCCCGAGTTAAGGAAACAATGTATAGTGTTTTTGAAAGTTACAGGGTGAAATATAAGGCTCGATTTTTTTTTCACATTGAAATTTGCCAGACAGGTTATGTTGACTTTGAGAGCGTATGGTAACCCAGAAATGAGAATTAGCCCCATGATGGCATACCATTTGCAAAAGAAGACAACCTAAGGTATTGAAAATGGGGTATGTTCAGTCTTTTTTAGTAGCCACTTAGTCACAAACACTGGCCAAAGTTATCATTCATAATTTTATTTTGCATTTTAAACACACAAACAAATATAAATGCTAACGTTGGCCAGTGTTTGTGACTAAGTGGCTACTAAAAAGACTGGACATACCCCATATTGAATACCCTGGGTTGTCTACTTTAAAAAAATATGTACATGTGAGGTGTGATTCAGATATTTATGACAGATAACAGTGTTACAATGTCATTATTGATAAATTTAAAATATATATATATTTTGAAACGGTAATGTCCTACTTGTACTTATAGACCTATAATTTGCAAAAAATAAAAAAAGCTAAGAACATGTTAACATTGGGTATTTCTAAACTCAGGACAAAATTTAGAAACTATTTACATGGGTATTATTTTGGCGGTTGTAGATGCGCAACAGATTTTTGGGTCAAAGTTAGGAAAAGTGTGTTTTTGTATAGTAAATTATGTGATATGATGAAATCAATGGTATCTTTAGAAATACCATTTAATGGCGAGAAAAACAGTATATAATATGTGTGGGTACAGTAAATGAGTAAGAGGAAAATTACAGCTGAACACAAACAACGCAGAAATGTTAAAACAGCACTGGTCCCAAACGGTAAGAAGTTTGAAAAACGGTCTGGTCACTAAGGGGTTAAACATATATTATATAAATATAGATATTTTTACTGCTCCTTTTTCCACTCTATTCGACACTTCTACTTGATCTGTGAATAAAATTAAATTTAGCAACTGCCCCTTGACCATCAAAAACCTTTTTTTTTTGCATCAATCATCGTGTTTTGGCACCATGGATGGTACACTAAATCAGAGAACAAACATAATGGATTTTCTGCATTGCTTCATGGTTTGGTCATAGTTCAGGAGATAAATCATCAATCACCCAAAATTTGGATGAATTGCAATTCATTTGAAAACAATCATGCAAGTCTAGTATTTAGGTCTGTCTTAATATAGCATAGCATCATGGTGATAAAGGTGTTCATTGTCATGCTTTGGCTGTCTTTAAACAGCACCAAAACATTCCAGCAATGGAAAAGAAGGGGAGGTAAGGAAAGCAATGGAAATGAAGGGGAGAGTTAACAAAAGCAATGGAAAAAGAAGAGAGGTAAGGAAAGCAATGGAAAAGAAGGGGAAAGTTAACAAAAGCAATGGAAAAGAGGTAAGGAGAGCAATGGAAATGAAGGGGAGAGTTAACGAAAGCAATGGAAAAGGAAGAGAGGTAAGGAAAGCAATGGAAAAGAAGGGGAGAGTTAACGAAAGCAATGGAAAAGGAAGAGAAGTAAGGAAAGCAATGGAAAAGAAGGGGAGAGTTAAAGAAAGTAATGGAAAAGGAAGAGAGGTAAGGAAAGCAATGGAAATGAAGGCGAGCGTTAACGAAAGCAATGGAAAAGGAAGAGAGGTAAGGAAAGCAATGGAAAAGAAGGGGAGAGTTAAGGAAAGCAATGGGAAAGGAAGAGAGGTAAGGAAAGCAATGGAAATAAAAGGGGAGAGTTAACGAAAGCAATGGAAAAGGAAGAGAGGTAAGGAAAGCAATGGAAAAGAAGGGGAGAGTTAAGGAAAGCAATGGAAAAGGAAGAGAGGTAAGGAAAGCAATGGAAAAGAAGGGGAGAGTTACGGAAAGCAATGGAAAAAGAAGGGGAGAGTTAAGGAAAGCAATGGAAAAAGAAAGAGGGGTAAGGAAAGCAATGGAAAAGAATGGAAGAGTTAGGGAAGAGAAAGGCAAGCAATGGAAAGGTTAAGAGAAGGCAAATAAACCCTGGCGTGTATGAATGTATTACTGACCTCTGTGGCAATAACATTTATAATAGTGTATGGCAGAACAAAATACCTGCCAATAATGTGAGGTAGGAATCGGGGTGTTACAGAGCTTCACAGCAACAATGTGTAGTGTTTCTGAGTGCATCACTTAATTCCACAGGCAAGAAAACTCTCATTAATGTATGTGTAAGCTCCAGTAAATGTGTAAACTAAGTTTTTGGAATAAAATACAATCCTTATAAATTATTAAAACACCCCACAGTTTGTGGTAGATAGGTCACGAAGTCAACTATATTGATTGGTAACAACACGTTCTTCATTAATGCTCCTTGCACCAAAATGTCTCTTTGGTCATTGGATATGATGGGTTTGAATATTCACCTGCCAAGACCAGCGACTCTTTGAGTGTGGAGAACATCTCTTCAGTGGGCTCACAAAATGCACACTTTGCTTCTAAGCAATCCTGGGATATCACACATACCTCACACATTTTTGGCAACACCACCCACCCCCCTCACCCCACATCCCAGAGCACCACAAGACACAGACTGTATTTATTATGATATAGTTTGTATTTTTCTTTAACAATACCAAGCTATAGACAGAGACTTACAGAGGCCTATACACTACCAGCAGATACAAACTCCAGAAACACTATTTACATTCAAAAGATTCATCTTGCACCTGCCCCGGTGCTTTGTTTTCCCATTAACCCCTTGACTCTCAGAGGCGCCTACATCCCAAACCCCTGGCAGCAAAAATATAGTTAATAAACTTCTTCAGGGATGGAGAGGGTATAAACCCATCTCTGCATCTACATGCATTGTCTCAGCTTTGAAATATGGCAGGTACGCAGCAGACTTTAACGATTAGTGGCCATGACGTGGCACGTGTTACTGACTATACGAAAATGACACAGTGTGGAAGGTTTATTAAACCTGTTCGACATATATCTATTTGACCGGTATTGCTGTATTGCAGTCAACAGAGCTGATTCATCATGCACCAAGTTATTTTACAGATTGACGAGTAAGCTCGGCAGAAAAATACAACAATGCGTCATTCTGACACCTGAAAGATCATCAGTTTCATTACGCAGTTCTGATGTCAATAATTAGCATATTCCTATTCTAAGAATCCCGCTGCATTGCATAAAGGATTTGCAAACTAAACCTTTAGTGTAAACTTCAAACTTGGGAGACAGCAGCATTTCAATGGTGGAAATGATGTATGAACGATCCTTCTTACACTGAAAAGTCAGTGTATTTTAACCATTCAGCTCTTTGAGAGGTTTTCACTGAATTTAGACACTGCTATCAAACGATCTCAGCCAAAATGATTTGCTTAAACCCTAAAGATCTGGGTTAAGCATAATCTACACCAGGGTTACTCAAAAGATAGATCCCCAGATGTTTTAAAACTACAGCTTCTATGATGCTTTGTCATTCTAAATGCACGCAAAGCATCATGGGAATTGTAGTGCTACAACGTCTGGGGATGGACACACCTGATCTACATTATCTTGACACAGTCCATGTCCATCATCTTCAGCAATGCAATTTTGTCCTCTTTTCTCAATTTTTTAAAAAAACGTTTGCATTACTCTGGGTATGGTTCTCACACTGTGCATTTTAAGTGGACCTATATGTTTCCCAAATCCTACTTTCTACAGCTCAGCATACTAAATAAACCAATATAATGGTGTTGACATATTTATATAACCAAAACGTGTGCGCTAAAAATGGACCTTATCCATATACCAGGGAGAGTAGCCATCTTAGCTACTTGTCACATGATTCGCATTATTATTTCTCCACAATAAATTACTCCTCCCCTTCGGTGGAAGATAATCGGTGCGCTCAGCTTTAGAAGGAGGAGTCACGAGAGGAGAGGTGAGTTAAGATTCCGTCCTCCTGACAAACCCGTTCTACTTTAATAAAAGCTAAAAGCCAGGCAGTTAAAGGGTCTGTTTTGATGTGGCCATAATTTCAGGACTTTGTTTTCTACTACATGTAATAGTCATATTTGTACATAAATATTTTTGTCTCACTCTTATTTTATTGCATTGATTCTGGGGACAGAAATCATGTGCACTGATTATCTGTCAACCTACAAAATTTCTAGAATTTTTTTTTTAATAAACCTGGTTATTTTAGCTCAAAACTGGCAAGTCCGTCAATAACTCACTATAACTAGCTGTTTGGAAATGGAAAGCGTAAATTTGTTTCATTGACATTGTATTCCTCAACAGATTAGCACAACATACGCTGGGTACGTTATAAAAATGAAAACTGCTATTTTCACTGGATGGTGTCCAGTATCAGAGCATATTTGTCTTATAAATTATTAAACAGTCTGATCTTTTCACAGTTTCTGGTATTTTTTTTTTTTTCTTTGCAGAAATGACTTTATTACTGGTTCCAAAAGTATGTCACGGCTATTAAATTAAAACACACTCTCCGTCCTGAAATGAAATAAGAAAAATTAAGAAAAGGATAGCTGAAGATCTGGAGTTGGTCAGTGTTGTTATTTTGGAAAATGTCTTTTGACAGACACCTTGAGCAACCAGTGGTAATGCTTTCTGGGAAATTAATTATTGACTTTTTCCTAAAAGTTGTGAGGTTGAATTGAACCTTGATTTTCAGTAATTTATGTCAGGCCGTATGGGTTAAAATAGGTTAAAAAAAAATAAATAATAATATAGCAATGATCATTTGATTTAGTTATCTATTTTGCAGACACTTTTATGGATTTATCCGGACCTCCTAACAAAACACCATCTGTCTAAAACAGAGGTAAGTCAAGCTTAAATTCTCAGGCTGATGCTGAACTGAACGTCCTATAATCCCACGCCAGAGCTTAGTAAGCTATAGTCAGATTAAGCAGCATTATGTGGTTATAGCTCTCATTTATACCTTGGCTAGAGTATTAAAGACCTGCGTTACAATATGATATGCAATGAAAGGCCGCTTCCAAAGACGGAGGCAGCACCGAAGTATTATTAAATAATATGGCAGAATCTGCTCCTTTTATTTATCCTGCCAAATGGTTTTATGTTTCTTACAAGTCATTTCCTATGTTTTTCTCCAATACCCACCCCAAATAAAAATAAAAATAAAAAAAAATACTTTACACCTATAATTGTCAAAATTGATAGTACTGGTAGTTACTGAGACATTGGAAAATTATATATTTTCCTTAATCAGCTCCTTTGTCTAGAAATAGTTTGTTAAGGCTCAACTAGCCACCTTTGAGCATGAAACAACAACTAATGGTTGGATTATCTTAGCAGAGTAAGGGTTTAATGTGAGTACTGAATAGCTGTTTCTCCATTTAAGTTTACAGACAAATTGGTACTCCGTAAGCAGAGTAAGGTCTTACTCTGCCAATATAATCTAGCCATTAATATTTAGAATGCCCTGTTATACCAGAAGAAACAATGAGAGCATAGAGGGAGAACCCTGAGGTACAGGGAGATAAGGTGGCCAGGATGTAACTTATTAAGGATACATTTCCAGTGTAAGCACCTCCACACTACACTACACCAGCCCCTGAGTATAGTCAACAGGAAACAAGGACTCGTTTCTCCTTCGGTCCTGACAAACTGTGAAAAAAAATTACACTTCCTACTAAAGTCAGGCTTTAGACATCTCCCACTTAATTTATGCACCCAAACATCAGTGATCCATATCATCAGTTCCTCACAACACTTTTCACTGAGAAAATTGTAAGTACATTTTGTAGCTATGCAGTGAGGGATGCTCTGTTAATGCGTGGTTTATAGAATGTTGTCATCTTTGTAGATCCTGAGAATGAAACATTCAGCTGTGTAGAACACTAATGAGTATATCTACAGCATACAAAAACAGAAGGGTTTGAGAAGTATTGACATCGGACTGAAATTCTTGTCAAATCTGTCAGTAATGGCTAAGTGTTATTAGTTTGCTCTAATGCTGCAAAGTAAAAATTAAATATATTAAGATTCTTTTTCTCCCGATTGATGCCAGGAGAGGAGGGGGTAATTGCAACTCTGGCAGCAAAAGGGGTTAAGGCCAGTGCCCTCTCTTGACATTAGATGAAAGGGTGTGATGTATAGCGCGGACCTCTTGGCATAACCTGTATCATACTGCAACTTGCCTCCCCCCAAAATACAAGAGCCCACACTGTAATTACAAGAGGAGGAACATATTATGCCTCCCCCCAAAAAATTCCACCCCATTGATTGACAGCTGAATGATATACAAAGTTATTAATGGAAATAAAAAATACAGAAGGTTTTGCTGTGTTTGCAAAGCACACATACACACATACACACTGCTCAGTTGTCTTGTATTTGGCAAGCTGCACTTAAAGAAAAAACCTCAAGGGGTGGGTGAACCTCTGGCTACAGACCCCAACCATAAGGTAAGAGAATAGTACAAAATAAAGACACCATTGAGTATGAACATGTCCTCTGTTGAAAGTGGATGTGGCGGAACTTGGCGTGAAAGAGAGAATGCAATTTTTTTGTTTGTTTGTTCGTTTTTTTCCTCTTCCTTTGGTTTTTCTATTTTTATGTGTGTTTTTTTCTCCCTGTCTCAGTCCTCCTGAAATTTTTTAAATATTGTTTTTCTTTATTTCGTTTGTTAAATTCGTGGCTCTTCTTTTTCATTCTTTTGTGTATACTAAAAACGAGAACACTGGAACACACCCTCAGCAGACGTTGTTTGAAACCATCCGTCTATTTCCTAACTTGGTCCTTTTCATTTTTATTTTTTTATTTTTTTCTGAGTTTTTTTTATTATTTTTTTTCTTCACACGAGGGATGGAGTCGTAGTCCAAGAGAAAATACAGCAGTTCAACCCCTTTGGTTCTAGAGATTTGCAATGCGTTAGGTGGCACTGCCCTCTGGCACCAAATAGGTTTGTCCATTTGCAAGCAAAAAATAAATTCTCCATATTCAACATATTGCTCCCACCTCCTCTTGATGTTCAACCTAAATTCTCCCCTGGGACCCTCCTGCTCCTCAAACCAATCTCTACTCGATGGGGATATTTGGGATGACAGGTGAAGTTGCTCCTGAGCTTTCGTTGCCACCGGCTGCTTCCTTCTCTTTTTTACCACTGTATTGACCGATAAAAGAACCATCCTCGTTGAACTGAACATCCACACTACCTCCGTAGTCAGCAAGGCTATCATCACTTCCTAAAGGCTTGAT